ACTTGTATTCCAACTTTCGTAGTTGCCTTTGCATTCCAATGCAGGTTTTTAAAATTAATTGATGGACTGATTACAATTTATTCACTTTGTATCCCTGCTGTAGGCCCCCTCCCTCTTCTCCTCCTAGTCCCACCCCGATATAGTTTCTTTAATGCTCTGAAAAGAAGTTTTCTGGGCTTGAAGAAATGGCTCAGCGGTCAAGAAGGCCAACCTGGGGAACTAGTGAGGACCTGTATCAAAAAGAAAACTTTTAAAATGGGGCCTTGGAGAGATGACTTAGTCGGTAAAGTGATGAGTCAAGTTCAAATACTAGCACCCATTTATCTTGTGGGGGCTTTCGGGGGTCCCGCTTGGTGTTCAGTAATGACGACATGGAGACATCTATATGGTATAAGCCTGTTAGCCTTTTTGCCGGGGGTGGGGGTGGGGTGGGGGGGTGGTCAGTCTCCTGAAGGAGCTATCCAGACTCCCAGGTAGTTGAAGATGGGGGAGGGGCAGCTGCAGCCCTGTAATCTAAGCATTCAAGGATGTTGAGGTAGGAGGAACTGGGGGCTTTCTAGGCCTGCCTGGGCTACACTGTGAGAGATCCTCAAAAACAATGACCACAACGAAAAAGTGGGTAGGTCTTGTGAAGTGTTCCTAGTTCACTGTTTGTTTTTATTTCGTGTGCATAAATATTTGGCCTGGCCACTCATCCGTGCAGCACGTGCTTGCCTGGGACCCTTAGAGGCTACAAGAGGATGTTGGGTCCCCAGAAACTGAGCCATCGGTGATCCTAAGCCTCCATGGAGATGCTGGACAACAAACCCAAGTCCTCTGAAAAGCATAACGTGCTCTTGACCACTGCTCTCGATACTGAGCCATCACTCCAGGTGCTTTTCAAAGATTTTATTTGCACTTTATGTGTATGGGTGTTTTGCCTGTACCTATGCCTGGGCACCACAGTGCCCACTGAGGCCAGAAGCTGGCATCAGATCCCCTTGACTGGAGTTACAGACGGTGCCCAGTTCTCTCTCCCAACCCAGGCCAGTTATTTTCACAAAGGGAAATCATCAGGTGTTCTGAAAATTATAATACCCTAGAAGAATCTAGGACTGGAAAGGTGGCCCAGCAGGTTACTTTCTCAGCAGAGGACTGGGTTCAGGGCCCAGCACCCAGACGGCCGCTTACAGCTGGTGGCTGTTACTCCAGTTCCAGGAGAGCTAGACTAGACGCCCTGGGTGCATTCATGCAGCGCACACACATAAGTGCAGGCGAAACACTCACTCCCAAGATAAAAATGATTCATTAGGTACAGAAAAATCAAGAGTGAGAAAAAAATAAATTGGAAGCTCATTTTAAAAAAATATTTAGGGGGCTGGAGAGATGGCTCAGGGGTTAAGAGCATTGGCTTACCTTCCCAGGGGTCCTGAGTTCAATTCTCAACAACCCACATGGTAACTCAACCACCATCTCTAATGAGATCTGGTGCTCTCTTCTGGTGCTCCTGCAGGCAGAACGCTGTATACATAATAAATAAATATTTTAAAAAATATTTATCCTTGGGTAGCTTCTTGCGTGTACAGAGTGTATAATTCATTTTAGTCATTCTCACTCCCTATACCCTCTCTCATCCCTACTTCCTCTTCCACCAAAACCCTTCTTTCCCAGAAGCCCCCCTCCTACTTTCAACATTTTTGTTTGTTTAGTTGGTTGGTTGGTTGGTTTTGGATGCGTGATGCGACGGTGTAAATAAGGGCTGCTTGCATGGGCATGGCTGGGAGGTTATTTTCTGGAGCCTGGGTAACTTTTCAGTGGCTAGACCACCGAAGAAAATGGCATTCTCTGCCCTAGCAGCATTAACTGCCAAAGCCCCTCAGGCAGGGCGGCCCTTCACGAGCCCCTCCCTCAGCAGCCCCGCAGAAACGTTGGTGGACTCAGTCTTGCGCTGGTCTTGCAGAGGTAACCACGGAGTACGACAGCCAAGTCATCCCTAGAAGACTTCGAGGCATCCCCCCCCCCCCCCCCCCCAGATGTCCTCCGTGCCAGGGTCAGGATGCTCACTCTGGAACCTCTCCGGCGCCTTGCTTCTCTGTGCGCTTGTTTCCTAACAGGAAGGCTTGCTGTGACAATGCCGGGGTTTTCTCTCCTGTTGATCTGATCCCTAACTGCCAGTACTTGGCTCGATTTTTCTAACGGGAGTGAAAACAACCAGCAACGCCACATTATTTTAAAAACTGCGAGGGGGAAAAAAAAAAGAAATCAGCTTGAGTTACTTAATAGAAACGAAATTAGAGCGAGAGGCGCCACCTACTGGATCAGTCGCAACCTGCAGCTTTGGACGCGAAGAGTTGGTTGCAACTTTTTAACCCTCTAAAATCCCATCAGCAGGCCTCCGCTCACAAGAACACTCTCCGTACACCCGAGGTTGCTGCTCGCGCTGTCCTCAACTATTACAGGACGTTCCAACCCCAGTCTCCGGAAGACCGCGAGGAAGACGGATAAGAGAACACATAATCAAGACATTAACAGCATTGACTGAATTCATCCTCTGAATTCAGCTTCAAAAAGACGCACTCCCTCTGTTGATTAGGACGTTACCAGGGAAGAATTTGTCAGTGGTTAGCTGCTGAGACTCCACGGTTCTGGGCGATTATACACCAACAACTCTTTTAAGACTTAGTTCTAGAGGAAGAACTTGCAATGGATAGTGTGTGTGTGTGTGTGTGTGTGTGTGTGTGTGTATGTTTGCTTACAGTCTGTGTCTTACTATACACAGAAATCTTCAAAATCAAGAGTGGTGGTGCACGTAATTCTACCATTTGGGATTAAAAAAAAATGTCTTCAAGCCAAGCTTGCAGATGGTCGTCTATAACTCACGCAATTCAATTTGAAAGCTGAGATTGATCCTGAGTGTGAAACCAACTAGGATACATAGTAATTTTGGGGATATCTCAGGCTATGTAGCAAGTCCCTCTCAAGAAAAACAAAGAGAAAGGAGAGAAAGAGAAAGAGACAAAGGGAGAGAACCCAGACTTCAAGACTTGCAAAAACTGATTTTGTGTGTGTCTGTGTTATTTTCTTGTTTGCTCGACACAGGTTTTTGGTTTGTTTGAGGCCAGGCTGAGTCCAAAGGTGTGTGCCACTACACACAGGAAAGACTGGTTCAGTAGGTGAAGACTGGAATGAGCTTGGTCTCTTATGGTTAGGGAGAAGTGTGATCCTACTGGAGAATACATCTCTGGACCTGCGCCAGCCACTTGGGAGGCACTTTTCTTGCTCAAATGAAATGTTTGTTAAATAAATAAATAAAAATAATGAAATGACTAGGCTAGAGAGATGGCTTATCGGTTAAGAGAACTGACTGTTCTTCCAGAGATCCTGAGTTCAATTCCTTTCACCCACATGGCAGCTCACAACTGTCTGTAACTCCAAGGTCTAACACCCTCACAAACATTCAGACAAAACACCAATATACATTTAAAAAATATAAATAAACAAATTATAAAAAAATAACCAGAATAATCAAATCATTTGTTATTTAATTCAATCACTGAAATGTTTTCAAGAATCTTATGGCACCTGCCTCTAACCTCAGCACTTGGGAGGCAGAGGCAGGTGTATCTCCATGAGTTTTTGAGTTTGCGGCCAGCCTGGTCTATAAACTAAGTCTAGGACAGCCAGGGCTGTTTACGCAGAGAAACCCTGTTTCAAAAACCAGAAACAAACAAAACGAAACAGAAAATACCTTACAACTCAAGATGGCTCATTAGGTAAAAGGTACCTGCCACTAAGCCTGAGAGCTTGAGCTCTAGGCTTTTATATGTATGTGTATGGCAGTTTGCACACACACACGCACAGCTTGAGAAATAGAAAACACGACCCAATTCTTTTGATGTGGCTAATGGCTGGCAAAATGTGGTTATGAACAAGCTTCACATGAAAGAAGACCTAATGGATTTGGCGTGATAAGACAGTCATGATCGTACATATTGCTTACGCGTGGAAGGCAGGTCTTCTGAACAGATTAAGTGCCATGGTGGCAGTAACCCTGACTCCAGGAAACATACCATTCTAAAGCCAGGGCAGTTTCATTAAGCTGCGCTGCTTCCATCTTTGTCGCTATTTTGAGACACAGTTCTCCCTTTGTCCCTGACAGAGGCCAGAAGAGGGTACTGGATCCCTTGATGCTGGAGTTTCTGGTAGTGAATCACTCAGAGCAATGGATGCACTTAACTGTGGAATTTTCCCTCCAGCCTGCTTTGATTTTTTAAAAAATAATTTATTTAATTTTATTTTATGTGCATTGGTGTGGGGGTGTTGGACCACCAGGAACTGGAGTTATACAGTATTGAGCTGTCATGTGGATGCTGGGAATTAAACTCTGGTCCTTTGGAAGAGCAGACAGTGCTTTTAACCAGAGCCATCTCTCCAGCCCAACTTTGTGTGTATGTGTGTGTGTGTGTGTGTTTGGGGGGGGGGGGGTTGTTAACCAGAATCCTTTTGAACATTTTTTAATTGGGCTGTTAAGTCTTTGGTTATTGAGAAAGATCTCATGTGCAGAATAATAAACACAACAACAAAAAGACTAACCTCCACCATGAGCTCACTTCGTGCTCAATAGGAGAGATATGATCAATAGAACAAACAGAAAAAAGTAAGTGTTGGTAGCTGGATGATGGTTCTGTATGACTTTAACCCCAGCATTCAGGAGTCAGAGGCAGGCACATCTCCGTGTCTCTGAGGCCAGCCTGGTCTACAGAATGAGTGCTTAGACAGCCAGGTCTACACAAAAAAGCGAGGCATGCTACTTCAGGCCTGTATTCCTGCTTTGAAGGCAGATGTAGGAGAATTCAAGGTTCAAGAGCAGCCCAAGCTACAAAGAGGAACTCAAAAATACTAAGCGGATGGAATTTAGCTGTAAAAACACTTGCCTTCCTTGCAAATGGACCTCGATTCTATCCTGGGCACTGGGGGAAGCGGGGAGGGAGTGTAAGAAAACCAGTTAAAACAGACATACACGGTGTTAAAAAAATGATATATTTACAGATCTGAAAGCCCCAAACAAGCTAGAAGGAAGGAGGTAGCAAGTATAAACAGGTTTCTTACAGTGAAACCTCGCTCTTCCCCAAACCCTGAGTATTAACCAATGGAAACAATCCCTGTCTCAAGGCCCAGCCTTGTTCCAACCCAAGAGGCCATTCTTCCATTGGTCATATCCATCAGTCTGCTTGCCAGTCATCCTGTGCCCAGGCTGGCATGGGTGAGACATACTCAAAGTCTGGCCCTTTGTAGCGGAGGGCATGCAGGAACATCACAAGATCCCGGGGCAAGGGATCCTGTCGCGACAGCCGGCATTCTGCACAGAGCGGGTCCTTTTCATGATTCCTGACATCTGCTTTGGCTGCCTTCCCTGGTGTGTCCGGAGGCTGAGGGGCAGCCTTAGCTATTCCATCTATCTTCTGGGCTACTGTGGCCATCTCTCCCAGGCTGTCCTTGGCCAGCTCTGAAGAAGGAGCTGTGGAGTCTATGAGGCCTGCTGCCAGGTCACCCTCACAGAGATCCAGCACATTAAGGCTTTCTTTGGCCTGATGCTCTGCGACCAGGTCCCGGAGCAGTTCCTCGTCCGTCTTTGCAATGTGGCCACCCTGGCCTCGAGAAGGACCCCAGGCGGTTGAATTGTAGATTGGATCATTGAGGATGGGGTGGCCCAGGAACTGGAGGTGGACTCGGATCTGGTGAGTGCGTCCTGTAAGTGGCCGGCACTGCACCACGCTGGAGTGGCCATTGTAGCTCAGCCTCTGAAACACAGTCTCACAGGGCTTGCCCTTCGGATCCACACGGCAAACTCCTACCTTGTAAGACACCACTAGGATGGGCTCCTTGCAAATTACCTCCTTATCAGGGAACTCCCCTTCAACCCGGCATACATATTCCTTCTCCAGCTACACAGGAGGAAAAAGGAAAAAGTCAGTCCAAAGTGAAACCCTCTGCAGAGTATATCAGTACATCTGAGAGAGGATAACTCAAACCCTAACGCCACTTTCACCATCCGGGCTAAGTTACGCAAGCTCTGGACATCCCATACCTCACCTAGAAAATATGAAATCAGGGGCTAGAGTGATGGCTCAGCAGTTTAGACCACCTGTTGCTCTTGCAGAGGAGCTGGCTCCAGTTCCCAGCATCTACATGGTGGTTCACACCCATCCCTAACTCCAGTTCCAGATCTGCTCTCCTTCTGACCTTTGCAGCACCATGCACACATGTGGTGTACACACAAGCGCACGCAAGCCCGCATGTGAGTACATGTAATAAAAAGTTTTAAAGGGAGAAGTTACGAAATCAGAGAACATTTACCTCACAGGGCTGCCAAGAGCGCTTAGCAGGCCAGGTTCTAACTTGTTAGGATTAAGTCTGGTGTGTGCTCGATGGATATATTATGATCTGGATCCAGAGTTCCAAGTCTCAAGACCATGATTACTACCAGTAAGTATCCTAACCATACCTCTTCCAACACTATCCAGTCTCCCTACTAAGCGAGCTGTCCTTAAAACCTTAACAATGTTTAATGTTTTCAGAACAGCAAATGACCAAGAAGGGGCTGAGCCTCCTCCAAGCACACGCGAGCCCACAAAGCAGTCTAGAGCAGCCAAAAGCCCGGCTCACCTGCCGATCCCGAACCTGCTCATGAATCTTCTCGGAGACTGCAGCCGTCTTGGCAAACATGAGCACACCTGAGGTGAGGCGATCGAGGCGGTGCAGCGGATGTAGCCCCTTCAGCTGGTGCTCCTTGCCTAAGATGAAGATGACGGTGTTGTGCCGGAAGCGGCCACAGGGGTGGACAGGAATGGAGGAGGGCTTGTCTATAACAACCACATCATTGTTCTCAGCTAGCAGGCGAATCGGCTCCGCTGTGACCGGTGGCTCATGTCTGTGCACCGTGTTCCGCAGGAAATCATTGTCCTGTCAAAAACACAGGTGACCAGTCAGCCTGAGACCAGCAGCCTATAGACGGTCAACTAGACAGCCAGGTTCCTCTGTTCCTTATTGACCCGGAGGAACGGTCACCGTAAAGCATTAAACAGAAAAAAGAAGTGGGTGTAATATGATCTCATTTGGTAAAAATACACACAGGCATACAGCTAGTGTTGAAAGACACACAAAGTTAGCCAGGTGTGGTGGCTCATGCCTGTAATCCCAGCAGTCTGGAAGGCAGAGGCAGGTGGATCTCTGTGAGTTCCAGGCCAGCCTGGTCTCAGGATAGCCAGGACTACACAAGGGAACCCTGTCTCAAAAAAAAAAAAAAAGTTGTTTGAATCCCTTAATGGTAAGATTATAGTTTTGCTTCTTTGTATAATCTTTACAATAAAGTTGCATCTTTAAATTTTTTGTTACATTTATTCATGTGTATTCATGTATAAAGGTTGTGAGTCATGTGACAAGAGGTTGTGAGCCTTAGGTAAAGGCAAGGACCTTTACCTGTTGAACCATCTCACCATCTTGATACAAATATATTTTGAAAGTACATGTATTTTAAATAGGGATAAAAACCCCTATTCATTACCAATTATGACCTTCAACAAACAACACCAGGCTGTAAGTCCAGAGCGCTAGGCTCTACATCTACACTTGAAACAAGCTCAGTACACACTCTTGGGCAAGTCATTTTAACCTCTCTAGGACTCAGTTTTCTTACCTGTAAATGTGGTTTCAACAGACCTGTGATTTTCAAAACCGATATGGGAGAGGTTATTCCCAAATCCTGAAACTGCCCTTTTCTCCCTACAACCATGGTAAAGCCAGTGTTAATGACAGGGGTCTCATGGAATTAAAAAAAAAAAAAGCTAAAGCACCTGCCCAGTATCTATCCCTGAATTCCTAATTCTATACACATCAGGATCTATGGCAAGTACTTTTTTTTTTTTTTTTGGCAAGTACTTTTAAGGGTTAACATGAGCACACACTTTGAAAACTGCACGGTTGCAATACTTACTCCCTAAAGGTTTAATGTCAGAGCGAACAAAAATGCTTAACTTTGTGCCTGATACAGTTAAGAATGCACGAGGGAGGTAGCTACTATTATTATTTGTACCGAGATCTATCACCCAGGGAAGAAAGTAAGCAGTGCCCTTGCCACAAGGCAGATATAAACGTAACATGAGAGTTTCCGTTTCTGTTTCTTGGAAACAAACCGCCTTGCTGGGGAGGATGAACAGGTTGAGTTTTTGAGCATGGTAAGGCTGTCTACTTGGGGATGTAGGGAGCGGGGACTAAAAGAGTCCCAAGGGAAAACGAGACTGTTTCTCAATTACCATCACTTTACGTCGGCAGTTATAGGCTGAGTCTGGAAACAAACAAACAAACAAAAAGAAAAACCCCCTTCCTCCTTTTCTCAAAACCCGATTCTGGCCAGTCCATTCGACACCACCTTGAGAACGATGCCGAGGTCCTGAACTGGTTCCTCGTTGAGATGCAGGCGCCCCTCCCGGACAGCAGCCTCGTAGTAGGCCAGTGGCTGGGATCGGAACTCGGTGCTGAAGACGTGCAACAAGCTGCGGCCCACCCAGCGACCTTTACAATAGGTCTGGAAGTCAAAGTAATAGGGCCGCACCTTGCGCAGGCCGCCCTCGAAGTAGTAGGTGGTCTCCGCGAAATGCTCGTCGCCAAAGCTGACCCCAGTCCGCCGTTTCTTCGGAGGCGGCACGACCCGTTCCCGGGTGGCGCCCCGCCGCTTCTTCCTCTTGCCCGAGTCGGCGACCGGCGCTGAGGCCTGCTCTCCGTTCTCCGGGACCTGCTCCTCGCCTCCCAAGGCCTGCTCCCCGCTCCCCGGGACCTGTGCCCCTACCGCCGCCTGCTCCAGGCGCTCCAGGAGCCGCTCTCCGCCCGGGTCGCTACCGGCGTCTCCATTTTGCTGAACCAGAGACTTCAGCTCTCCCGCTGCCTCGGCCTGGGTAGAGGGTGCCTCAGCCATCGCCCCCCTACAGCCACCCCGAGTCTTGGCAAAGCTGTGGGACCAGCGCGCCAAGGGCCAATGCACAAGAACTTGGAGCCAGCGGCGGCCACCCCGCCTCATGACAGCGCGGCTAGCCGCTCCAGGGTCGCAATCTGATGGCGTCATAAGGTAGCAACCAATCAGGGAGGCCCAGCGCAGAGGCGGGGTTTGCAAGCAGGATGTAACCGAGTTGAATTGAAAGAGTGGTGGCCGAGGAAGTGGCCTTCTGCGAAAAGTAACTGCACACGGACTCCGCTCATTCGAAGAGATCAGACATTATTTCCTAAAGGAAATCTTCGGTGGTACTCCACGTAAAAGACTTGGATGGAGATGATAGTACACATTTCATTTAGACATGCACTATTTCCCTGGGCCTGTAAAACTCTTAAAAGTTTGCTTGATACAAGGTGGAGGGGGCAAGGCACCGCAAGCCGGTAGTCTCGGCCCTAGGAAGGTAGAGGCGGGAGCATCAGGAGTTTCGGTTACTCAAGAGCATGTCTCAAAACAAAAGCAAACAAGCAAAATAATAATTATTATTGTTTAAAAAAAGAACAAAAAGAAAACAAGCAAAAAAAAAAAAAAAACAATAAGAATAAAGGTTTCCACGACTACGACTGTGCCAATAACGGTTTTGTCCACTTTGCTTTTACTTTTGAGAGGCAGTGTCGGGGAATCCTAGAGTCTCAGGCACTCTTCCATTTAGCTATACTCTATTGTATGATTTATAAAGGTACGTGTTGGGGGCTGGAGAGATGGCTCAGCGGATAAGAGAATTGTCTGCTCCTCCAGAGGTTTGGAGATCAGCAACCACATGGCGACTCACAACCGTCTATAATGGAATCTGATGCCCTCTTCTGTCATGCAGGCACACACGCAGAGAGAGCACTTGTACATAAAATAAATAAAATCTTAAAAGGGTGCATATTATAGCATGTTACATACTTCAATAAAGCTATTATTATACATATATTATTATAGACATATTCCCCAGAAGCAATTTTTTTTTTTCACTCCTGTCATTTCCACAAACAGCACCAAAAGAACTAGAGACTTCCTGTTTGGCTTCCATGAACTCTTATACAGGACCACTTGTACATTTGAATTGCAATCGGATAAAAAAAATGTATTGCCAGGGTTTCTGTATGTATGTGTGTGCCAGTTGCTTGCAATTGTATGTGTGAGTGTGTCTAGAGGTAAGAGGTCAACCTCAGGTGTCCATTCTCTGGTGCTACCCATCTTGTTTTTTGAGACAGGGTCTCTCACAAACATACAAACTACAATGCCACTTTTTTTTTTAAATTTTATTTTAAGACAGGGTTTCTCTGTGTAGAACTGGCTGTCTTGGAATTCTATAGACCAGGCTGGCTCAAACTCACAGAGATCCACCTGCCTTTGCCTCCCAAGTGCTGGGATCAAAGGCGTGTGCCACCATCACCTGGCTAACTCTGCCTTTTAAATGTTAGTTTGGGGGAATCAAGCTCAGGTCTGTGTTGCATGGCAAGCACTTTACCAATTGAGCACTCTCTCCCCAGCCTGCTAAGATTCTTAAACAAAAAAGTGCTGAAACCTGCTTTGGCTAATTTCATCAGAGAGGGAATTACTGAAAGAATATTAGTGCCTTGTAGGATTCACAAAAGAGCTAAAGTGTAGGTTCAGCAAAGAGACCAAATCAAGGGTTCTGGAAACTAGCTGTTGCTGGAGATGAAACGCACTGCCATTGTGAGGTATGCAGCTGTACCAGCGGACTCTGCCTCACCACCCTTTGTCCCTTGAAAATCTCTAAATCTCTAAATTTTGTTTTCTTATCTCAAGATCCAGAATTCTACAAGGGAGGCTTCCTTCCACTAAGAAGGGACTAGGTCTGTCTTTATTTACAGAAAACCTGTAAATAGTCTATAACCTTGTTTAGTCTTCACAGTGGGATTCCCCCAAAAAGGTAGACATTTGGATGCTAGCGTCTAAAAACAGGACAACTGTCTAGTCTGATTCAAAAATGCAAGTGTGAACGTACTCATGGCCTTTTATGATATAAAATGTTAATGTTGGTTTAGAATTTTATTATCTTATATATTAGCATTCTGGAGAGGATCAGGAGAAACTTTGTAGCTGGATTATTCTGTATATCAGAGGTCCCACAAGTCAGGCATAATGTTGAATGCCTGTAGCCCTAGCACTTGGGAGGTGGATGTAGAAAGATCAGAATTTTTAGGTCATCTTTGACTACACAGTGAGTTCAAAGCTATAAACAAAAGTCTCCCTGAACCAAGTGAAGGACTGTAGATGTTGGTCTTCTCCCAGAGTGGACTGAGGTATCTGAAGCTTTAGAAATCCTTATGCTGAAATGTCAGATTCCTAGTTACCTGCGTCTTAAAAAGAGAGAGATTGACTTTTCCGCGGGTTGTGGGTACTTTAGAACAGAATTGCTTTAAAAGGAGAACACTATCTTTTGAGCCAGTTGCCTTATTAAGAAATTTACAACGAGGTTCTGGGCATGGTGGTGCATGCCTTTCAACCCAGCACTCAGGCGGCAGGTGGATCAGCTTGATTTACAGTTCCAGACCAGCCAGGGCTACACAGTGAGATCAGAGAGAGAGAGAGAGACAGACAGGGAGAAAGAGACAGAGAGACACGTGCATATACAGAGAGACAGACAGAAAGAGACACAGAAAGAGACAGAGACTCAGAGAGAGACAAATAGACAGAAACACAAGCTGAGACAGGGAGAGGAAAGAAAAGAAACTTACAATGAGGGTAACATTTTGTGTAGATGTTACAAATTATAGATGACCAGGCTTTCTGCTTCATAGAGTTTGTACTACCTCGGCTTGACCTGATCACCTCGAGTCATGCCCATGATCACCCCTGAGTAACTTTGATTGACTTGCCTACATAGTTTCCTAGTATGCTGTAAATAAACTAAGTCGTAAGTGGAGCCTTTTAACTGCCTCCCAGCAGTCAATGCCAAATGTCCTTGACACTGAGTTCCATAAACCAGTTACGTTCTGCCTTGAAGTCACTTTTGCTTTTACCAGAGTATAAATTCCCCTTTCTGTGGCTGAAATGACAGATATCCACTGGCTTTGTTGCCAGACAGGACCACACTTCCAACAGCAAGTCCCTAATAAGTTGGATGCTATACAATTCAGGGTCTTTCTGCCTCTTTCTTCGGTCTCATGCAACCTGGACCCTGTTTTTCATAGGGCTTGTTCTGGAACAGAGTTGCTAGAATTAATAATTCCATCAAAAGACTTAGAATAGTGCTTCGCAAAATTGTTGGGTGTAAAGACAAATTAAAGTCTCGTTCCCCGATTCTTCTTGACTTTTGAATAGAAATCTGCGCCCCAGCCTGATTGTCAAGTAATTTGTCTTCAAGGATTGAGAAGCAATAATATAGAACATGCCAGCATTCCTTGTACTTTGTGGACATCTGGCATCTTCTGAACACATCTAAAAAATTTTAATATAATTGAGTTTTTGTTGTATCGGGGATCAAACCCAGGGTCTGGCACATACTGGGCAAATGCTCTCCCACTAAGCTATACCCCCAGACCCTGTCCCCCTCTTTTGCATAGATAAACTTCTGGTATTACATTATTTCCTCCAACAGGTAGAAGTCACAAACTGGCTGTGATGGTTCATTTTGACTGCAACCTTATAGGACTGAGAAGCAGCCAGGAGTTTAGTCTGTGCAAATCTAGAACACTTGTGGGTGTGCTGATGAGGGCATTTCTAGGGGAACTGATATGTTGGCCAGAAACTGAGGGGGAAAGACACACCTGCTCAAGATGGAATAAAAATAGAAAAAAAAAAAAGGAAGCCTGAACCATCATCAATGGATACCAGGCTCCAGCACATGGATCAGATTTGGAAGACCTGAATGAATTGGTAGTATTCTAAATTGCTAAATTATGATTGTAAATTTAAGAAAGTGCACTTTTTTTTTTTTTTTTTAGCAACGGGGTTATTCACAGCTACTGCTTAAAGGCATCTCACTGTGGTATCCAGACATCTGAGAGGCCAAATTAGAAATCAAGCATGCGAGCTGGGCGGTGGTGGCACACACTTTTAATCCCAGCACTTGGGAGACAGAGGCAGGCAAATCTCTGAGGGTGAGGCCAGGCTGGTTTACAGAGTGAGTTCCAGGACAGCCAAGGCTACATAGGGAAACAGAGACATAGAGACACACAGAGAGAGAGAGAGAGAGATCAAGCATGTGTTTGGTGAGCATTCAATCAGTGTAAAGGGCATTTGTGACTCATGAAGCATTGACGCACCTCATTCCCATGCCCCTTCCTGTGAGCCAGATGATAGCAGATTCCTTTCTTTTATTGTATGAGTAAACATTGCCACAATCTTGCTTGTTATTTATTTTGGTTCCCCCCCCCCCCAGTCTTTGCTTTTTATGTCCTTCAATTCCTAGTCTAAGAATGCTTACAGATGTGAGCAACAGGCCCTGATGTTCTGTGGTGACACTTGCTCGTGATAGTAGTTGTCTACTCCCTTTGCCACAGTGATGGGATTTGGACACATCTTGGGACAATATCCTCAGCCAAGTTACTGGTGCTAGTGATTGACTGCTGTCTTTCATCACATCTTTTTTTTTTTTTTTTTTAAATTGAGTATCTGCCTTTGAAACTGGAAATAACAGGACTCAGCTGTTAAGAGTGCTTGCTGCCTGTAACTAATATTTAAAAAATAAAAAAAAAAAAGAGTGCTTGTTGCTCTTCCAGGGGACCAGCCACCCGTAGTCTCACAACCACTTGTAACTTCAGTTCCGGGGGATGGAACACCCTCTTCTGACTTCCGCAGACACCAGATGAAAGACATACACATAAACTGAATTTTTTTTTTTTAATCATTGAGGATAAAGAACAACTAAATAAACATGTTGATAACCTTTGGGGGCTGGGCTAGAGAGCACTGTCTGCTCTTACAGAGGTGCTGAGTTCAATTCCCAGCAACCACATGATAGCTCACAGCCATCCATGTGGGGATCTGATGTCCTCTCCTGGCAGGTGTGCATGCAGATAGAGCACTCATCTACATAAAGTAAATCTTAAAAAAAAAAAAAAAAAAAAAGACAGTTCTACTTTTAGATAGGATTTTTCCTTGCAGTTCAGGTTGACCTGGAACTAGTTACATAGCTCATGCTGACTGTTCTCTGCCTCCTGCCCTCAGCTCTACAATGTTGGGGTTACAGGCATGCACACACCACACCTGGCTGTTGAAGGTGTTATAAAAACTGTTCTCTTTCTCTCCCTCTTTCCCTCCCTCCACCTCCCTTCATCCCCTTACCCCTTTTCCTTCCCACACTACCAGCATTCTTAATAACTCTTCGGTGCCGTTTGTTCATTTGTCTGTCTCTCTGGTGGGGACCCCTTTACCGCTGAACAATAAGGATCTTTGGGGCCCACACCCAATCTTGTGTGTCCTGAATTCATATTTACAATTCCGATGGCAGAGTAGGAGCTTGGTATATTCAACTAAATGAATAACGGAAAGTCTCAGAGGTCGGCGAATGAGGCCCTGATATTCTGTGTCACTGACACGCTCTAACTTGGGATAGCCATACCTTCACCATAATAAAGGTAACAGAAAGTTGTCAGAAAGGTAACTGATACACGATATACTGCCCCCCCCATCTGTATTTTTACGCAATATTGGGAAACACACTGAAAACACAACAGTTGGGAAGGTCTGCACCTACAGTCGCAGGGCTTTGAGGAACATCCAGTTTTATAAGATAGGCAGGCAGGCACCTTCTTTCGGGGGTGGTTTAGAAATCAAGACCTCTTGGGGACCAAGAAAAGCCTAGAAAACCGGCTTCCCTATCCGAGCCGGGGATGGGTGGTGGAAAGCTGGAACTCTGGGGCCTGCAAAGAATCAATCCGGTCCTGGGGAGTCAGGGGACGAAACTCCAGAGGCTCGATTCCATCGTTTCCTAGCAACCGCTAGTCCCGCCCACCGATTTCCCGCCTCCGGGCATCACTAACTCTATTCTACCAGTGAACTCACAGGATGCTCCGGGTCCCGTCACTCAGAGGCTCCGCCCCTCCCTGCCTCTTCCTGGCTGCCAGCGACAGACCTGAGCCGGGCGTCTGGAGCCTGCCGGCCGGGTGATTGCGGTAGGTGAGGGGCCGCAGTGTGCGCCGTTTGGCCTCTGCTGCCGTGGCCTGACCCCGGAACGAGGGCGTCAGGGACCGGACGATCAAGGCCAGCCACTCACTGAGGCCGGGTGACTGAGGCCTGGCGTCTGGACACACGTTTTCCTCCGCCGTTCCGAACGTCCCGGGGTCAGGGAACCCGCGGGGCCCCGGGTGGAGAGCAGACTTGGGGTTTGGGTGTGCTCAGAGGACTTCAGTGGGGACTGAGCCCTCGCGCTGGCTGGGCTCTGTCAGCTGGGTTTTTTTTTTTTTTTTTTTTTTTTTTTTTTTCTTCTTCTTCAGGCTTTCGCCCATGTCAGCTTTCCCGATCTTTTAAAAACCCTCTTAAAAGAAGGTGTCGACCTATTCTGTAATCGCGGAGGCCCCTAGGCTCTGTGCTTAGCCCTTGGAATCGATCTCAGCGTGGGCGGCTTTCGGTGTGTTTCCTAAGCGGGCAGAGTGTCGGGTAAAAATAACGATTTGGAAGCAAAATATCACGTAGCAGCAGCGCAGGTTTGCGCAAACCACTCGTGTGGTTTGTTATTTCTTCTGCCTGCTTCTTCTTCCTCCCTCTCCCGCCCCGCTTCCTTCTTCCTCACCGGTTCCTGTCACTCACAATCTTTCTGCCTCAGACTCCGGAGGGCAGGCGTCACAGATGTGTCTGTAAAAGGATGAAAACGCCCCTCCTTCAGTGTTAATTATTATCTGGGTGGACATACATCGCATACATTTATTGAGTTATCACGCTTTGCCGCATACATATGGGCAATTAAAATAGGAATGATAAAAAAATAAAACGGTAAAAGGTATGCGTGGGGGCGTGGAGGAACTAGAAGTACATGGCCCATGCAGAGCGCATGCCCTTGCTTCCTGATATAGGACTCTTTGACAGACGCTTTTCAGCAAGGAACGTTTTTGTTTTTGTTTGTTTGTTTGTTTGTTTAATATGTAAGAGTAAGACTGTCAGGCTGTGTCCCACTGAAGACGGAATTGGACTGGCTGGTAGAACCGCTGTGTGTGGAGGTCTGTGAACAACAGTAGAGCTGGCCACTTGTGCACAGTGGAAAGCTCACAGAGATTCTTGTGTTTATTGAGTATATGAAATGTAAGCGCTAGGGGCTGGAGAGATGGCTCAGAGGTTAAGAGCTCTTCCAGAGGTCCTGGGTTCAATTCCGGCAACCACAACCATCTATAATGAGATCTGGTGCCCCCTTCTGGCATGCAGGGGTACATACAGGCAGACCATTGTATAGATAAATAAATATTTTAAAAATTTTGTTTAAAAAATATACAAGCTAGGGCTGTAGCTTGTTAGCTCCTTTGTTTGTTTGTTTGTTTGTTTGTTTTGTTTGAGACAGGGTTTCTCTGTAGCCTTGGCTGTCCTGGACTCATTTTGTAGACCAGGCTGGCCTTGAACTCACAGAGATCCACCTGCCTCTGCCTCCAGGAGTGCTACACCTGGGACGGGCTCTTAGGCTCCCTTATGGATTCTCATCTTGTAGGTGAAGGTCATCATGAGGCAGCAGACCCCTGTCCAGCCAACTGTAAAACCTTGTGCTCTTTTACAAACTTCTCAGACTCCTTTACAGATCTCTCTCTCTCTCTCTCTCTCTCTCTCTCTGTGTGTGTGTGTGTGTGTGTGTGTGTGTGTGTGTAACTAGCTACGTAGACCAGGCTAGCTTCAAACTCACAGATATGCACCTGCCTCTGCCTCTGCCTCTGGAGCACTGGGATTAAAGTGTGCACTACCATACCTAGTTATACTGCATTATATTTTTAAGATTTACTTATTTTTATTTTATGTGTGTTTCTCCTGCGTGTATGTATGTGCACCACAGGCATGCCTGGTGTCCGCAGAGCCTAATTGGATGCCCTGGCACTGGGGTTAAGGATGATTGTGAGCTGCTTATATGGATGCTGAAAACCAAATCCTAGTCCTCTGCAAGAGCAGCAAGTGCTCTTAATCTCTGAGCCATCCCTCCAACCCCTATACTATATTCCTTTTTCTTTCTTTCATTTGTTTGTTTATTTATCTTTGAGACAAAGTCTCACTGTGTATTCCTGGCTGGTCTGGAACTCACGGAGATCTGCCTGCTTTTGCCTCCCAAGTTGGGAGCTTAAAGGCGTGTGCCACCGCATACACCCAGCATTGTGCTGAACTGGAGCTAGTCTTTAGTCACTTGAACTTCTGTTTTCCAGCTCCAAATGAAAATGTTTGAGAGCCTTGAGTCTTCAGCTACAAAATCTGGCCGGGATCTCTGGGCTGAAATCTGTTCATGTCTGCCAAGTCCTGCCCAGGAAGATGCTGCCAGCAATGCCTTCTCGGACTCCTTTATGGATTCACACTCTGCAGGTGAAGGCCACACAGCAGCAACAGACTCTGCTGTGCAACCATCTGTAAAGCCCTGGGCTCCCTTGCATGATTCAGAAGTGTATTTAGCATCTCTAGGTAAGTTCACTGTTTCTCTCTTTTTCTGTCTGTCTCTTTCTCTGTGTGCCTGTCTGCCTGTCTCTCCCTCCCTTCCTCTCTTTCTTCCCTCTCTTCCCCTCCCGCAAACCATCCCAGCCCCTGTGTTTTTAGGGAGGCAAGTTATGTTACCTTTAATTTTCTTCCTTCCCTCCTTCCTTCCTTCCTTCCTTCCTTCCTTCCTTCCTTCCTTCCTTCCTTCCTTCCTTCCT